TGAACATGTGAAGTAAAGTACAGAATGAGAGGAGAACAAATAGAGGAGGTTTCGCTCATCAATGCTCTGTTTACAAAAATTCATGAAATACACTCGGGTTGGTTTTCAGACATAAAGCAAGTACAATACAATGCAGTTTTTTTTCTTCTTTTTTAGCGATACATAATCTCATGATCGATATTTGTGTAGAAAACTTGAAATATATCAAGCTTATGAGGCACATGAGAAGCGAGAGATGTATAGAGGCTAATAATACATGCCTGACAGAATTCGACAGAATATGCATAAAGGAAATCGTGCTGTATGAAATCTGAGTAAAGAAGAGAAGAAAATATTTTCTTTGAGAATTCAGTAGGAAATAGGAGAAAATGCGTGTATATACGGCACCATTGATTTTGTCATAATCGGATTCGCATTTAGAATCGCGATGATGTTTGTAATCCATGTACGAGTTGTTGTGTTAGACTGTCAATGTCGTCGTGCCCCCTAAAAAAATTTGGTCCTTGAATAATTAAGAGTGTTTTGAATCTTGGATTAAAAATTTTTTGCATCAATTTTCGCTTTCTCGGCACCCAACGAAACATTTTCGCGTGAGAGGCCGTTTCGCACGAGAGTACCGTAGCCGCCCCCCTACGTGATTTGTCGCAGTACGCGCGGCGGCGGTCCTGTACGGAATTACCAATACTACGGTCGCGCAAAACGGCCCAAACACCTTTACTTCAAAGCAAAGCTTGGTGCTCACCTGATAATGTTACTTTTTGTGCGGACTTCGTTAATCCTTTGGTGGTCAGCATGAGCATCACGTTGAATCAACGGATCCATATGAGTATTTGCTTCACGTTGCGTATGTGTCATCGCTTAAATAATCGTTCTTCCGCGATTTCGCGCAACCCAATCGATCGATAAAACTCACTATCATCTCGAAGCTGTCGTACGAATTTGTTCGGTGATGGGACATTTGATGCGGCTTTGTATGGCGCATATGGTGAAAATCGCTCTCTTAATGGGGTGGTATTGAAAGAAAAAAGGGAAGAGTGAGAAAAAAACGCTAATCGATATCCTACTCAGTTGTTTCCTCTGTTTTTCTATATAGACTTTGTTTTGTGATTGTAGTTGTTGAAGGCGTATTGTCAGCTGCTTCCATCACAGCTACTGGCGTAGTGGTGGCATACTGATGGATTAGCTCTCGTGGATTTGTGATTAGATAGCCGGTTTTAGTGTCAAAACGATAGGATGGATCCGAGAATACCGATGATGCCACTGAAAAATGCGAAAAATGCGCTCCAGAAGTGCTAGTGAACTTTCTGAGCAGTGTGGTTGTAATACAAGAAAAAGCGCATACCGCTCATTCTCCCATCGTTTCCCGGACCAAGATTTCCATTGGAACCATATGGATGCCCGGAACGTGAGTCTAGTGTTCCGTAGGGATCTCGGCCTCCTAGGCCACTTCCAGGTCGGCCACTGCCAGGACCGCCACCGTAACCTCCACCACCTGGGCCTCCGTAACCACCGCTTCCGGGACCGCCATATCCGTCTGGTGAAAAAATACTTTTGAAGCGCAGGCTACATCAATTTATAAATTGCTTGTGAAAGTAATACCTCCTGTTCCAGGCCCGCCTCCGTAGCCTCCTCCTGCACCAGGACCGCCTCCAGCTCCGTATCCGCCTGG